GCCTTGAGGGTTGCTGATTATGTGGGGGAAAGGCCAGGTCTCTGAGGGATATATATATACATATATATATATATATATATATATATATATATATATATGGAGAGAGAGAGAGAGAGAGAGAGAGAGAGAGAGAGAGAGAGAGAGAGAGAGATGATTTCTAGAGCTAGGATTTAAAAATAAATTTAATCAAAGTCATATGGAACCTCAGTTTCAGGAGGGTAGGGCAAGAAAGGTCACACATAGCTAGTTGTTGCTCCCTCTTACCAAGAACTTTCTTGGATTCCCACCGATTTGTATCTTACTGACTACAGCTAAGTTCTAGGAAAGTTGCTTTTTTAAAAATCTTTTAAAGCCAGGCAGATTGCAATTCAAATAAAATCAGGTCCGTTATTAAGGATGATTGTGTTGTTGGTATAGTGGTACAGACCAGGGGCACAGGGAGACCTGTAGGCCAGTAAGAGTTGTTGGTGCTCCGGGTGAGCTGATATTCTGAATTAAGGAGGCAACGGTAGGAATGGAAAGGAGGATCTGAAATGAGAATTGACAGAAGGGTGACGGGATCCTTGACAGCTCATCTTCCCACTTATATGCTTCAGGAGACACTTTGCCTCCTGGTCAATTTCACTTAGCAGATATTCTTTTCAATTACCTCAAGGGCATCATGAGTTAATCTCCCTAGTAAACCATGGAATAAACTAAGGCAGAGTAATTTGTATTTCTAAATCTATGTAGGATGAACATTATTTTTGAAAATTTATTTCCAAATGTACTTATTTCTCCCAAAAATCTGTTTTCAAACACAGTAATATAGAGGACATTGATTAATGGGTATCAAGCATATCTGTTATAAAAGCACAGCCATTCTTCACTTATAGACACTCAAGATATACACAAGGCTTCATGTCAGAAAATAACATTCGGGAAACCATATGGATGCTTTATCTCCATGCCACAAACCATCTGAATTTCCTCTAGGTATTCCAAAAATCTTTTAAACCCAACATTTTTCCTCTCTTCAGAACATACTTATAAAAAGGCAACTTGAGGTATTTTGAGCACAGCAATTTTATTGTAAGGGAATTGGGTTGCTAGAAAAATATATCAAGAAATTTAACCATAAAAACAAGGCAATAAAAAGAAAAATAACAAACAAAAAAGACAAGGCAAAAATACTTGCGGAGGTGGTTTTCACCTGTGGAGTGAGCTCTAGTCTAGAGAGCGCAAAGGTGAGAAAGCTCACCTGGGTTGGATGATGACCAGGTTGCTCTGTGCCAGCCTCTGTGGTACAGCTGGCAGGAGCAAAACGTTGCTGGCAGACATGAGAAGCTGGAAGCAGGCCCTAGGTGGGTGTGGGTGGAACTCAGACTTCAGAGAAGGGAGTGTGATGAAGTGTCCAGTGTACTGACGGGCAGAGGGCTGGCCAGCAGGTGCCCTTGTGGTTGCCCTGGTCCTTCCCTTTAAGGTCCAGGACCCCAAACTTTGTCTCATTCCCAGCTCCTTCTCAGAGGTGCCATACTATTTTGTTTGTATTCTGTTTTAGTTTCTGGCTGTTGTTTTGAATAAAAATAGCCTGCTTACCTCTGTCAAGGGAGTGGGCTGCTACACTAAAGGGGGAGTGAGCATTTCTAGGGTTAAAAACCCTAAAGAACCCTGGTGCAGCTCAAGGGACTTGAGTCGGGGCCGATGGCTCCCTGAACTCTCCCTGTTTGGTGATTCTTCTCTCAAGACTTTGGGGAGCATCACAGCATTATCTGTAGCCATATCATGAGTCTTTCAAATACTTAAAATAGTATATGAACAAAAACCAGCATGAGGCAATCTTAGTGAGGCATAAAAACTGCATGTCGTTTTATCAATGGCCATTTAAAGAAAAAAACTAATGGGGCTGATCAGAGGATCTAGCAGTTTTTTCACTTCTTAAATGCCACATCTTAAAAAAGGAAAACAGTAGAAAAAAGGAACACTTCTGGAGACTGTAACGCATCCCTGGCTTGTTTGTAGGAAAATCCAGTTAAGATGTAAACATCCATAAGCCATGATTTCTGGACTGGGGTTTTTCATGACACTAATACAGTCCGGGCGTTGTAAAGGTCACAGATACCGAGGTTTCCCTTGAAGGTCACTCCTGACCACAGCAGCGTCGGCAGCCCCACCAGGTGACATTCTCTTCAGCCCCCTCCTTGCGGCTCCCCTCGGAGGTGGCAGTTTATCGATGTAGCTGAAATTCAAGCACAAGGCAGAGACATACAGACAAGAAAAACGCCGTTAATTATTTCAGAGACAGAAGAGATCCTTCATTTGGCCACAGAAATGGAGGTGAATCAGGAAATGGATGGCGTTTTTCAGGTCACATGAATCAGCGCCCCAAAATTCATCATTTTCACCGAGTGCTTGGTTGGTGTTCTCATTCTTTTACATTGTGTGCATGGCTGACATAAAAGTTTAGGGAGAGCCCTACGTTTATTTTTAAAAGAGAACTAAAGAATTTTGTTTCGAAAGTATCACCTCTAATTCTATCATGTGATAAGAAGCTTACTGTAGGAACAGTGAGCAAATGTTAAAAAAAACAAATAACAAAAACACACTCAGGAACTTCAGTTGGAAGAATGAAACACCTGTGCAGGCTTTAAAATAACTGGATTGCAGAGAGCCTACTTCTGTGCTGGGCCCTGAGTACTCACATCACCTCCTTTCTCTCTCAGAGCTTACAAAGGACACACCTAGGGCAGGCTCCCCTAAACTCCAGGTGAAGCGAGGGTAGCTCAGGAAAGTTAAGGAACTTTCCCTAAGTCGCAAGGTGAAATCAATGGACCTCAGATGAGGGCCATTTCACTGTAAGGATACCTCTAATTTACTCTTTCGTTTCTCGTCTGTCCCCAGTATTAATTTGTAAATCATTATCATTAAACATACATATTTTAACAATGCTTGGGTGTAGCCTGTAAACTGCCCATCTAGTTGACCCTTCTCCTCCACATACACATAAAGTTACATAATTTATTGAGCTAAACGTTATCTTATCAGCCCTGGGTTATGGTGTAGAAAGCTATTTTCTTCCCACTGCTAAGCTCTCTGTATGCCAAGATTTTTTTTTTAAGTGTACACACCTTTAACTGTAATTCTGAAAGCCAAGGGCAAGGATTAATTACACATCGGGATCTTTATTTCTGTCTCCCTTTGCCCTGGCGGCTGGCGGCTCCAAAGGTACCCAAGCACCCAAGGGCTGCAAAGCCAGGAGTAAAGCAATGCCCTCCCTCCCCTTCCCCCCCAACCCAGGAGCAGAGAGGCCAGGCTAGACCTTGGCAGCCTCCTCCTCCCAGGGTGCCTCCTCCTCCCAGGGCGTTCCTAGGCCTCTGTGCCACGTAGGCAAGAGAATCGGAATGTCAGGAATGGAGCTAGTGCCCCTCATGCCAAGCGCAGAACTGTTAAGCTGTTCACTAAGGTCCCCAGGAGCCAGGCAGCTGCCAGGCCTGAGTGCCCCCAACTCAACCCACGGAAGAATGCTTCTCCAAGAGGCTCCCAGCTACTGACATTTCCTCCCCAGTGAGGCCTTGAGTACCCAGGCAGAGCTCAGCGAGAGAGAGAGAGAGAGAGAGAGAGAGAGAGAGAGAGAGAGAGAGAGAGAGAGAGAGAGAGAGAGAGAGAGGAGATTTTGGGCTGCACTAGGCTTCTAAGAAACCTTCAGGATTGCTTTCATTTAATTCTTTTATTAAAAACTATTTCTACAAAGTAAAAATTCAATGTCAATTTGTATTTCTATCATCTTTCTCTTGGATATGACAGGCTAAGACACACCTTCCAGCCAGTGGTGGGTTCTCTGTTGCACAGATGAGCTCAGTGGCACAGTAATGGGCATACCGGCCCCTTTCCAGTATCGGGTATGTCCACAACCCGCTCTGGGGCCATTCGTGTGTGGGTCACAGGGACATCTTATGTCACTAGCTAAGAGAGGCCCGCGGCGGGGGGCGTCCACGCGTTTCCCTATGCAGGGGAACTTGAAAGCCACCCTCAGAGGCCCACGCGGAGACAAAAGGGCCCAGAGATACTGTCCCCACCCTCACCCAGAGGAAAAGGGACAGGCGCTGCTCTTCGGAGTTCTGAGCAGATGCTTTGCTAAAAAGTATCAAATTCCAGGAGTCTTGAAAGGTACTTTAATGTAGTATTACGAATCTTTTCACCTGAGTACTTGCTCCATGGATCCCAAAGATTCTACAAAAGTGCAACAAGTAACATTTGGCCCCAGAATTGGACGAGCTAACCTTACCCATCCGGGAGCTCCTCTCTTAGTGCTCAGCTGCCTCCCTGGTTCATCTGATCTGTTCCTGTCTCTGATTGAACTCCGCTGAAATCGACCCAAACTAGGCGGGAGGCTCACCCCACAAGTCGCTCCTCTGAGAACCGGCAGCGACTCTCTTGGTCTTTAAGGAGTTTCCAGTTCAGAGCCCGCAAGAGGATGTCACACAAAAAGGAAAAAACAAAACTCACACATCTCGGGAGTCCGAGAGGACTTTGCGGCGCCCGCCCACCCCCACACCGCACGGCCGATTCGGCCGGGGACGCACACGTACCTGGAGCGGAGGCCGGGAGAGTGGACGCGCCACGTCTAGGTCTCGGCCCGCGCCGCCTCCGACCCTTTATACTGCGCTCCCCACCCAACCCCCACCCCCCCACCCCCACCCCAAAGTAGCCACGTCCGAGCGGCGGGACAGGCGCGGGGAGCCACCGACGGTCCGCGCGAGGGAGTGGGGGAAGGAAGCCCCCGAAAGTCCAGGCTGGGGCGCACGGCACCAGGGAGGCCAAGTGGGGCTCCTGGGGTGCAGGGGTGCCGGGGGAGCCGAGGGGCCCGGGCCCGGGCAGGGGCGGGGCCGGGGGCGGGGCTCTGGGAGGCCGGGCGCGGGTGGAGCGCTCGGGTTTCACTCCGAGGAGGAGGCGCGGCGGGGCGGGCCGGGGGCGGGGCGAGGCGGCCCCGCGCTCCCCGCTCCGCTCCCCGCGCCGCTCGACTCGCGGGGAAAGAGGCGCCGGAGGCAGCAGCTCTCGCCGCGCCCGCTCCCGTGCGCTGCCTTCCCATCGCGGGTGGGCTCTGCCGTCCTCCACCAGCCGCGGCCCCTGCCGGGCGGCGGCTCCCGTTCTCCACCTCTCCTCCGCGGGGGCAGCCCGGTCCTGGTGACCCCTCCCGGGGGCTCCCTGGCGGAGCTGGTTGGGGCACTCAACTTTGCCCCCTGGCCGTCTCCCCCGCTGGGAACGAACCTGCTTTCCCCCCGGCCGGCCGCTCACGCAGGCGCCCCCAGCCCCGAGCGCATAAGCGGGGCACGGCTCTGAGGAAGTGGCAGGGGGCGGAGGCGGCTGCTGCCTCGACTTCCCCGGTCGGGCGCTGAAGAGGACCCTACGACCGCTCCGGGGCTCCGGGCGCCGGTAACTGGCCCGAGGAGCGCGCATCCCACCTGGTAAGCGACCCCCTGCCCCATCCCTGAGTGGCCGCGCTGCTGGCGGGACCCGGGGCGGCCGTGGTGGGCGGGCGGGTCCTGTGGATCGGGGCAGGGGCGGTCTGCAGGCCGGAGCCGGGTCAGCGGGAGGTGGCGCGCACGGGATTAGAAGGACACCTTCCCCGCGGGGGTCCCCCTGTGGCGCGAGTGCACCAGCTGGAAGTTTGTGTCCCTGCCTCTGCCGAGGCCTGAGCGTGCAGAGGTGAGGAGCGGACGCGACCCTCGGGGCGACCGGTCGGTGGGCGACCCCCGCCCCGCACCTCGGGACGGTGCGCAGTGGCAGTGTGCCCGCCCCGCGCGCCCAGGCTCGCATGGTCTGGAGCGAAGGGCAGGGGTCCGGGTAGCCGGGGCTTCGCGGCCCGGAGCCGCTGCCTGGCAGCCTCCCGGCGGGGCAGCTGTTTCTGGTTTAGTTCCAGCGGTTTGGAGGCGCACGTGCGGAACTGGGAGGCAGGGGGACTTGGGCTCAACTCCGCCGAGCGCTTTGGTTAAGGAGGGAGATGGAGGCTGGGGGCCGCCCTGAGCGCCGCGGCCGGGGTGGACGGGCCCGGAGGACCCCATGGGCCGCAGGCTGGCGAGTCCCTTGCCGCGAGCATCTCTCCGCCGCTGCACGGATTTCGCATCCTCTGGCTCAGGGTTTCGGGGCCGGAGGAAATCTGGGTCGCGGAGGAAGCTGGTCCTCCCAAGATGTGTGAGGGAACCCCCGCGGGGGAGCGGAGCTCCCGGGACGCCCAGTGCGGGGCCTCACGCAGATCCCATTTCCCCGGCTTTGGCGGGAAGCGCCTTCACCTCCTCGCCCTTTCCTCGCTTTGTACCTGGATGCAGCCGCTCAGAGTTGGGATTTAACTTTCCTGCGCCCGCGGCATCCCGGGGATCCCCGGAAGGGGGCGCTGAGAGCGAGCGCTGGAAGCGCAAGAAGAGAGGATGCTGAGAGCTGCGACTAGGTCCTGGGTGAGTGGGTGTGGGGGGGTCCCAGTCAGCAGACAGCGGGACCAGGCCGGTCTGGCAATAATGTCATAGGGGAGGAGGGTGGCGGCAGCTGATCTGTTGACCAGAGGGAGCTGTCAGCATTGCTAGAAGAAGGGACAGGAAAGGTGGTTGCCAAACACAAGCCCTTTAAATAGAAAGGTTCCTTCCAGAGACAAACATATCGCCGCAAACTCTTCCTGTCTGCATCTGTCTTCCTCCCTGTGACGACTGTCTTTACTCAGAAAAAAAAAGAAAGAAAATCGAAATTGCATGAAGGTAATCTGAGTTAAGTTTAATACTGACATAAAGTTCTGTTCCTCAGGAGAACATTCGTTAACATGCCAGGAGTTACAAATGATCATTGCAGCCCGTTTTTAAGGAAAACAATCGTATGTCACCGTTAGCTTCTCCAGAAGAGCTCCATCATTATGACCAAGTTTGGGAATAGCAGATAGTATGTTATTAATTATAGTTAGTCTCTCCTAAGGAGGCCCAGAAAGACAAAAACAGACTTTACTAGGGAAGGTTTTAAACAGCTAATGAGCATTGCTAAATTAATTGTTAATTAATGCCAGTTTTATTATTGAAGAGTGAGTAAAGTTTATCTTGCACTATTTTGAGTGACCAGTTCACAGTTTCAGTTCGGGCAGATAATATGTTGTGCATCACTAAATAACTTTTTCTGGTGTATGCCTGTGTTTATGCCAGAGGAAACATAGATATATATTATTTTACCCGCAAAGATTTATATCCATGCTTGTTTGTAATAAAAAAGTACAGTGTAACAGTTCGGGTCACTTGAAAGACAGATTTCATTTTGCTTGAGTTTCTCTCTTGTGAAATCTTGGCCACAAGATAGCAGTTCTCCTGGGTGTCTCATGGTCTGACTCCCGGAACTGCGGGGTGATGAACTAGTTAGGACCTGCTTTTACATGCTTTTACTAGTACCCACTTTTCTTAACAGGGAAAGGATGGATGATGCTAATCATTTTATGCCTTTTACGAATTGTACTAACGTATTTGATGGTTTTAATGGCAAACAGCTGGGAGATCCCTGCTGAGAGCAAAGACATTGGTCTCCGGGGGTGGTCAAGCTTGTCTCTGTCCAAAAGATGCTTCTGAGATGTTCCGAATTTGGTAACAATAAACCTGTGTTCTTCACTGCCCTTTCCTTTTAAAATGACTTCTTCACCACAGCTGGATAGAGTGAAACATAGGAGCGTCCAATGCTGCGGTGTCCGTGGGATCTAGGAATACGTGCACATTCACGGAAACGTTGGCTTCAGTGTCAGAGAGTTCATGGACCTTCCGAAGCCCCATCCTTGGCTTTGAAGTGAGGAATCTTGCTTCACAGTCACTTTAGACTCTTGGTCAGGGATTAATGTTAAAACCAACAAACTTTTCTCTCCGTTGTATGCCGACTCCTTAAAATAACAAATGCCAGCTCCTTGAGACTACATTAGCAGAGGGAGCTGCTTAACGGAACCATTGCATAGTTTTTCTTTAACTTGGTGATTATTTTTTTAATGATTCCAAATGTCTTTTCATGTTGTTGTCAAGTCATTGAAATTGAAGCTTTGCTTCTTGTACACATACACGTCCAGCCAAAGGCACCCGAAACTAGTCCCTATGAAGAGGTTTGGATTACAAACCATATAGCATGCAGGTAGAACAAATCAGTTAGTTAATAATATGTCCCAGTCAAGGAATCCATTTCTGTAGTAGCATGTGTCCAGTGTAGCAGAAAAATCTCACATCCCTCAGTACCTCCTCCATAATTCCCGGTTCTATAATTATACCAAATTTGTATTTAAAAATGCCTCTGAAATTGTTGCTATAGTTACTCAAAGTGCTTAGGGTGTAATTATAACACCAAGGTGACCGATTTTTATGTTTAGTGTTAAATAATTTTTAAACGTAAATTACAGTGTCTAACAAATTGAGCTACAGCAGAGTGCAAAGTGTGTAAGTGGGACCTTGTACATTTCCGCCCACCTGCATCTTTTGGCAAATTTAGAGAAAAGTGAACCTTTTTCTTGAGTCCTAAGATGAGTATATATATGTGTTTTAAGTTGTTTATATTCTATGTTCGCTTAGTGACAACACAGATATTTTCACATATGTAATACCAGCAACCTTTTAAAATCGAGACACAGGAGTTTTCTTGAAAATTGATGGTTTTTTATCACCCTGCCTGCTGCCTTGTGGAAATGACCTACCATAGATAGGGGACAATCAGCTGTCTCTAATTCCTGTACAAGTTGGTTGCATCCTAAAGATAAATTCAACAGGTGAGGAGTTGCTCTTTGGCAAGCAGGTTGATGAAACACCTTTTGCCTTTTGGTATGCTCGATACGTATGCCACTTATTTCTTTGATGTGAATTCGTCAAGTCCTGGTTATCTGATATATAAAATCAATTTCTAACAGCAAGAAAAGGAGAAAAAAATACGAGTGCACCAGAATATACATAGGTAAAGTTTTCACTTTCAATGAGCCTCCCCCACACTTGTTTTGTTCAGAATTTAAGCCACACAGGACAAAGCAAATGCAAACTCCGTCCAAGAGAAGGTAGCATACACTAAGTCACTTATTATAAATTACTGGTATTGACACAATTACTCTTTGCCATTTGAAGGTTCTAGAGCTAAGGAAACCTGGCTCTGAATTTCAGAAGAGTATTTTGAAGCCAGGCAACTTCAAAGACAAGTTATATTTCACCTGGTGCATGACATTTAAAACAGGATTAGCCCAAAAGTGGGCTCAAGAAAACAGAACATTTTCTCCTAGGAATTGCTGTTGTCTTTTTTTACCCCTTCTTTTTTGTCCAAGATTAATGGTTGTTTGACAAGAGCAAAGATGAACACACTTTATTTCCCTTTTCTAAGTTTTAAAATATATTGGCATTTGAAAAAAAATCATTTCATTCTTTATTTTTTATCTTATACAATAAAATTGGTTTCTGATTAATACAAAAAAAAGTGTTATGCTTTCAGAGAATACATTTTAGGGGTGAACTTCTTTTATTTCTGGAAGGCCATGAACTCACTAATCTTTTATCTTCTCATCTTTCACTAGCTGTCACTGTGTCTCTATGGAATTGGCTAGCCTATCATTTGTAGAATGATGAGGAAGTATACCCATAAAATTTTATTTTATGTTGCATTTTTATGTACATTTTGAGAGTAGATCACATTACTGTAACAGGTAATGCAATTGCAGATATGTATGATAAGTAATCAGAAGAGTGATGCTATCAGAAACCAACTGTACTGGGGACATAATACTGTATTTGCTGAGATGTGAAATTAAATAAGTTCTAGGCAAGTGACAATCAGGATTGAGCAAGGACAAATTGTTCACAGGAAATAGAGCCTCTTCTCAATCACTTCACACTCACCCAACAGTGATCTGTGAGGTGCCTATGCAAGAAAAGCAGAGCCAAGGAAAAGTCACGAGGAAAATTCTGCTGAGCAGTTTCCTGTGAGCTCTCTGGAAAATGGTTAGCGCTTGGCTAAAACTTCCCCGAAGAGATGCATTCCTCATAAAACCGAGTCCAGATAAAATCCCACGCAAAGAACTCCCCTTCTTGTCAAAAACAACAACCCTGGAGACGTGACTCAGCTTGGAGAAGGCTTCCCACGCTGTCCTCAGTCAGCCTTGGAGGCTGCCCGCTGCCGGGACTGCTCACGCGTGCTGTGGAGAGAGCGCCTCCGAGGCCAGGGACACGTATGGTCGGACCTCCTGCAACCAAGTGGGTGTTAGAATCACACTGGCTTCTGCGGTTTCCTTTACAGGACTGAGATTTAGATCTGCCATAAAACTTTACCAATTGTAAAGCCAGAACATTGTTTGTGCGTGGTGACATAAAGCAAAAAGAACTGCCGTGGACGTTAAACTTCCCTTGTCCAGTGGAAAGTGTAATAAAGCCATTGTTCATGCCAGTTGACGTACAAATATGAACTAAAGGAATTGCTTCTAGGATGTCTGTCTTGT